CTGTTTCATGCATGAGGGTTTCCAATGAAGTTGTGCAATGAAATAAATATGATAGAAGTGAAATCCAAGATGGAATCTGATTTTTATAAGACTCTCTGGTTTGGAGGGTAGAGGTAGTTTCACACCAGTGTTTTGAAGGAAATTATTTGTTGTTGTCAGTGCCCATCATTCCTGGCTGGGGAAAGGAGCTCCTGTTTCCCACAGCAGTTTTAAAAGTCCTTTGGGAAGGATGAGATCTTCCTCTTAAAATATTGAGGGACAAGTAACAACAATGTTAAAAAAAAAATTAAAACCCATAAAATGTCTTGTGCCACAAACCAGGAGCTCTCTGCAGACAACCCCCCCTTGCAAATTTAGAGATGGGACCAGCTTTGTTGCTGTATTTGTGGATTCTTTTGGACTGAGCACTATTAAGAGGGTTTATTTTATTATTATTTCATGTTCCTGCCTGTGTCTGTGCTGATGGGAACCAGTGTCTGGCAGTGAGAGCCAGATTCTGTCACAGCTTGGTACAAAATACCTCAAAACACCTCACAGGAGGTAAATTCAGTCTCGGCTTCAGCATCTCACCAAGAATCCCTCAGAATCATTGCTCATGTCTGTGCATTGTGGTTATTAGGTACAAGAAATACAGTTTTTAAAACTGTAATTAATCATTTCTCAGTAATATCTTTTTCTGTGCTTTTATGGCATCAATGGGTATGACTGTTTATTATGTCTTACCTATAAAATCTGACCTGTTTTATATACTCTTTATGGAAACAGTGTACAGTCATAAATTAAAAGATGCAACTGTTTTGGATATTTTACTGGTGGTCCTGTATTTTCCTGCCAAAAGTGCAGCTGTTTTAGGTTTCTCAGGATAACATTATAAAAAGGCTGTGTGCATTTTGCAAGTTTATGCTTGGATTGCCAAGCCAGGGGTGGAGTGACTCAACCTTCCCAGGAGCAACATGTACCAAGTGAGGAATCAAAACAGCAGCTGAAGTGTGGCCCCTGTGGAAAGCACTTTGTGTTCATGGGCTTGTGTCTGGTGCTCAGGATTGGAGATGATTCTCAGGCTGGTCTTGCTGGGCTGGCGATCTGTCAGTTTGATGGGGTTTGGTGCAAAACTAGTGGGGAATCTGTCTTGTACTTGTCTCATGGGGTGCAAGAGCTGTGGGGTTGCAGTGTGGGATGAAGCCATCCTTTAACAGGAGCTCTCGGTGTGTGTAGCTGGGGTGGAGCCGTTGGAAGGAGCCAAGGGCAGCCAAGAGTGGCAGTGCCAGCACAGGCAGCGTGTTTGTGTTTCCGTGTCAACTCCTACTTCCATGTCAACTCATCGCTCTGGAAGGTTTGGGGTAGAATTAAATGGCTCTGCAAATGGGTGATGATTAATGGGGAAATTTAGAATCTTCTTTAGCCAAAATGATGGTGGCCTCCCACAGATCTAATTCCCAGGGTCAGTGGGCTCCAGGCACAGGTAGCAAGCAAAGGAAGTCTTGTGGTCATCAGAGCAACTGGTGCCGTCAGCTTGGTGGGTGTCTGGCATTAAGTAGCAGAGCTGAAACACTCCTGTTTCTGTGGGAGTGCAGGAAAGCTTCTGGTGGTATCTGGTGTTGGCAGGACCTGTGGGAGTGGGGAGATGAACCACCCCCAGAGCGAGCACAGAAGAGCACAAACCCCTGGGCACCCTCAACCCTGTGCCACCAAAGCACTGGTTGGGGCAGCCTGCCTGAAGGTGTCATTGCTTCAGCTCATGCAGGTTTTATCCTAATGTGTCCAGCGGGCAGTGGGCAGTTCCATCTCCTTGCTTTCTCCTAAAAAGTAGCCTCAGCCTCGCTGTCCTGTGAACTACAGGGTGTTGGATGTGTTTCCTCTGCTCTAAAATAACGCCGCTCTTTGCTGCAGGTACCTCACCCACGTTCGAGCTGCCTCTCCGCAGGACCTGGCTGGGGGCTACGCGTCCTCCCTGGCTTGTCACCGGGCCCTGCAGGACGCTTTCAGCGGGCTCTTCTGGCACCCCAGTTAGCCAGGGAGCAGCAGCCTGTGGCCAAGGGACACCCAGCGGGGCAAGGAGCGACCCAAGCCAGCAAAGGTGGGGCAGGATCGCTGCCATCTGCGTCGGCCAGGCTGCACTCACTGCCCTGTGCGCCCCTCTGGTGCAAAACCAGCTGCGTTTAAGTGTTCAAGGGAGAAAACAAACCCCGTCTTCACGAGAGCTTTGTGAAATGGTAGATACATTCTTGTGGAGGGGGAAGCTCATTGGTCATGTGGCACTTTGCTGAGGGAGGCTGAAGCAATAAGCCACATCTAATGGAAGATGTGAATAACTCAGCTGTGTACGTTTGAGGCTTAAAGAAATACACTTGTAAATTTTTTTTAAATAAAGCCAGACTTTAATAAAGTTTGTGGTTTTACTCTTATTGCAGGGTTTTATTTGCACAAGCATTTAAATGCCATTTTGATTATAACATTTAGTGTCAATATTCAAGCCTACATTTTCTTCCCATAAAACTAGTTTCCCCAGTTTAGACAAGTGGGTTTTTCCTCCTGCCAGCTAGATGAGATGAGAAACTCTGGAAATATGCTGACACAACTCTTGTGTGGGATCCTTCCTCCGTGTGTCACTTGGTTCTTACCTTTGCTTGGAAAACAAATCTTTAGCTCAAGGGCTTTCAGCTGAGGTGCTCCAGAAGCCATCTAAGAAACCTTGATACAAGGCAAAGTCACTGAAGTAGTCACAATTGTGGGGTTCCCTTTTGGGGTTTGTTTGTTTGTTTTGCTTTTTTATGTTTGTTTTTTGCTGCTTATCTCCATTTGCAAATTTTTGTCATAAACTCAGGAGCTTCTTCAGGTGGGAACATCCCTTTGGCTTTGGGGATGATCCCTGCTACCTGATGTGATCATTTTTGTATTCCTTTGCCTGCTCCTTGTAATGGAACATTAACCAACTGCAGGAGATGGGAACCTGCTCAGGACAGCCACCTTGGACCATGTTTTATAGGCCACCTGCTCATACCTATTGAATCCTGCTCTGAGGAGTGCACTTGATGGATGTATTTTTTTTATGCTGTAATAAAGAGAAGAATAAAATCTGTTCCAGACTTGCTGTTTTCTTATTAAAGAAAATGGGGGGAGATGGCAAAATTTCCATTGCCCTTTGAAATCCCCTTGGTTGTGCTCAGAACAGCTGCTGACAAGGAATGTTACAGAAGGCAGAGGTGTGGAAGAGATCAGATCCTTCCCTCCTCTCTCCCCTTTCTCAGGCTCACCCAGACTGGCAAAGATGCACCTCACCAATGATCTCTTTATATTCACTTTGTAAAGCCCCAGGTCATGCCCTAAGGAATGCAGAACTGCATATGCATATTAATATTTCTAATTTCAATACACTCATTAACTTGGCCTGAATAACATTTATTATGTCATTTCTTGTACACAGAACTGGCAGCTTCACAGACAGCTGGAAACCCCCTGGTTATGAGTACAGTGATATATCTGCTAGACTGGCATCTAAACTGAAGTTCTGCTGCTGGAATAACGCTTGCATTCAGTCCTTAAGGGAAAAAACTTCTACCATTTCAAACCCTTCCCTGCCCTGGGACGCTTTAATGAAAATCAGTTACGTATTTTACAGGCCTGACCCAGAAATGGTGATCAAAGCCTGGTTTCTGTTGGTGCAGTGGTGCCAAGCCCTAAATTGGGGCTGTGAAGCAATGTGGAGTCCCAGGGACCTGCAGTCTGTGTCAGGCAATGATCCCAGGGTGGCTGCACCATCCCAGAGTGGTGGAGAGCCTTATGGCTCTGGCAGTGTTTGTGGTGGGCTCCGGAGAACAGGAGCCACCTTCAGATGTTTATGGAGAGGGCAGCAGCTGAAGAGCAGCAGAGGGGTCAGGACACAGGGGCAGAATCCCAGCACAGCAGTGCCTGGGAGGAGAGCACTCCCAGGTTGGAGCTGCAGGGACTGGTGTTAAAGGCTTGAGCAGGAGTGCTCGGGCTCAGTGCGGGCCAGGGAGGAATCAGGATACCCAGGAGAGCCAGGATGGCCTCCCTGGGGATTGATAAATGTGATCCTGCAGGAACCAGGCTGCGAGGGCTCGCTCCAAACACCGGCTGCGCAGCCAAGGGAAGGAAAGGCTGTCACACGGAGCCACGAGCAAAACAAATCCATGGCCCTTGGTGGTGTTTGGGTGAGAACCAAAAATGCAGCAGGCTGCAGGCTCAGGGCTGGAGCCACAGCAGCAGGGCCAGGAGGGTGACAGACATCTGGTTGCTGGGCGTGAGCTCAGAGCTTGGGCTGAGGGAAAATATCTGAAACTGAGAGGGCGAGCCGAGTTCTCTGGCCAAATAAACTATTTGTGGTTGACATTGCCCAACAATAGTTTGGATGGGTAAGAAAAGGAAATCAAAGACAGAGGCTTTTCAAATCCCTGCAGAGTACAAGCAGCCAGCCACAAAGATCATCCAGGGACTGCAGCAGGGGAGCAGGCAGAGGTAGGGAGAGCTGGGAGAGGGCAAAGTCACAAAAGCCACAGGAGGACACGGTTTCAGGACAGAACTGTTTTTCAGGTGCTGGTTTCAGCCTGGAACTGCAATGCAAGCATGAACTTCATCTGCAAATGTGCAAAAGACATTAAAGTCTTTCTGGCTCTGACCATGGGCAAACACGAAGTAGGAGTCAACTAATCCCTAACTAAATCTTGGTGGTAAAAAGCATTTTTTACTCAAAACCTCAGGATATTGGGCTATTTTGCCTTTTGGTATCTCAAATTAAGCTTTTGAAAGGTTACCTTGCTTACTCAAGAGCTATGCATCTGCTAACTATAATCCAATATTCTCAAACCAAAACATTTGTTGGAGAATCCAGGGCAGGGGTTATGTAAGTCACCTTCCTAGACCCGACAAGACATAAAAAATTGTTCTTCCCCACAACTTGCGCATTATCAAAATGCTACTAAACAACCCCAGGCCCTGTCACTGAGTTAGCACAGAATATGAAACAACAGAGAGCAGGGAAGTACCAAAACACATTTATTATAAGAGAATAAAGTTTTAATTTTTTGTAGTAATAACAATTTCAATCGATCCCACAATGAGAAAAAAAGGTGACTGCAGGAAGCAAGACTCGCAGAGGAAAGCTGCAACTTGAGGGGAACACAGGTCTGCTCCTTATAACTCATGGAATAAAACCCCAAATATCCTTTACACAAATTAAGGTAGTCACCACAGCTCTGGTCTTCAACTCAGTAGCTTCTCTTCTGAAGAATCTTGGCTGGTACACAGACGTTTCGAGGCTGGTTTTGCTGGAAAAGGTTAGAAAAAGTAAGTTATTTAACGTACAGTAAACAGACTGACCGAATCACAAGCTCTGGAGCAGGAAGCTCTGTTAAGGGATTTAATAAGAAGAGATGAGAGTTTAAATCAGGATTAACAGTCACAAATGAAAACTCCTATAGCAATAAAGGGGGGTCTCTACCGAATGCCAAAAAAGACTTCCAAAAAACCTGTATGGAGCTACATTTTGACCTACCTTTCAGTGCTACCCAACAACAGCATAAAAATAATTCATGGCATTAAAGCTTTATATAAATCTCCTTTCCTCCAGTTTGTGTAACTGCAGGCTGAGAGCTTTCCTCTGCTGTCTTTGTCATGTAGTGCAAAGCCCAAGACCACTGAAACCAACCAGTTTCTACAAGTACTTTAAGAACAAATGAACAATTATAAATAAAAAAAAAAAACCAAACCCACAAAACAACCAAATTCAGTACTGAAGATCTCTAAGGGTATCTATGTCTCAATTAAATTGAACCAGGTACAGAACCTGATTCTGCTGATGTGGTGACTCTAGGCCTCACTGAATCTGTGTGAGCATAAGAAGAAGGTCAGAGCTGGGACCAGTCCCTTGGAAGTGTACTGATCTGGGCAAAAATGCAGCTCTAGTTCTGAAGGACTGAGCTAACAGAGATGTGTGCTTGGCATTAGATCACAGAGCCACTGAATATCCTGCACTGGAGGGACCCACAAGGGTCACTGAGACCCCATCCTCCCCCAGTGCACAACTTGAGGCATAAAGGTCTGGTTTATGGTCTGTGGGGTGATCCTGTCCAGTCCATTTTTCTGGGGAGGCTCGTGCTGGGATCAGAGGAGCAGGCTGCTGTTACCAAAGCAAGAAAGCCCTGCAGCTGCTGCACACGTGCAGGCGCTCGTCCTGCCTGCCACATCCACACCGCTGTCACACGCCTGGGGTGGCCCATGGGGCTGACCAGCCTGAGGCAGCACAAGGTGCAGCCTGAAATCCCAACGCCACGTGGGAGGTTTGCTCCTTACCTCCGTCAGGACAGGGCCTCTTGTAGAGCACATCTGCTGGGATCTGGAAACTGAGGCACAGCATCTCCTTGTTGGGCGCCACGTTCCTGACCAGGAAAGTGGAACAGCGTCCAGCCAAGGAGGTTCCCAGCACAGCTTCTGCTCGCTCCTGAATGTCTCTGGCTGGGTTGCTGTGTTTGGAGAACCCGTAGCAGTGCACAGTGGGAAGGCCAGCAGGGCTGCAGGGCTCCCCGACCAAGAGGTGCCTGAAAACATCCAGAAACTCCACAGCCAGAGCTGGCAAATTCATCACTATGTGGAAAGCGGTTTTCTGTTCTTCTTTCAGGAGCGGGAGCTCTTTGCTGAGCTCCTCCCTCACCGGCCCCCGCAGGAAGTCCCTGCCGTCCATGTTGAACGCCTTTATCTTGGTGTCCACTCTGTTGAGCTTGCAGTTGTGCAGGAGCCAGGTGTAGGACTCGGGGTTGAGGTCGTTGGCAAACACTCGGCACTTTCTCTTGGCTGCTGGGATGGCGAAAGGTCCGATGCCAGCAAAGACGTCGAAGAGGACGTCACCGGCCTTCAGCAGCTCCACTATACGGCTGTGCTCTGTGGACAGGCGCGGGTTCCAGTACACTTTGGAAAAGTCCAGTTCATAGGCAATGTTATTTTCTTTGACCTGGAAGTCCAAAAGGTTTGCTTAAGCCTCTGTGTTCAAATGCCTGGCAGATTTAAGCATTATCACTAACTAAGAAAATGAAAAACCAAGGTGCCTTATCAAAAGATAACATGTACATCAGCACTGTCCCACTGGTAGCACACAGGAATCTTAAATAAACACATCAACTAAGCAATCAAATAAACAGATCTTAAATCAACAGATCAACTCATCAGAAAGAGCCGTGTCCCCAGTGTCAATCCCAACGGCTGGCTTTATGCAGGTCTCAATCACCAGGTGGAAATAAAGCAGCAACTTAAAATGACCCTAAAAAAACCTGAGGGTTTTCAAGAGCTTTGTGGCTGGCTGACAACTCCTCTATTGAAAGCAGACCTTGGAAAGATGCCTCAAGCCCTCCTTTATGGAGTGCACACAGTAAATAAGCGTCTGAGAATGATAGGCCCAAGAACAGGAACCGTCAGCCAAATTCAAAGCCGCTGGGAGCCAGTCCTGCAGCTTGAAAAATACTGTATTTCATCTCCCAAGGTGACAGTCTGGAAACTGATCCAAACCCAAGCTTTGGGATTACCACTGTCTTAAGAACAGACCTGAAAAGGAATAGTATTTATTCAGATGAGAATGGGATGCAAGATAATACTCTCTTTGCACCAGCACGTGGAATTGTCTGATTCCAAAGTACAGTAACTTGGGATCCAGATCACCACAACGTTTGCTTTGCCAGCAAGAAACACCCTGAAGGGTCTCTGTGCTCCTGGATGCAGCTACATGGTGTGCCAGGTGTGCGGTGACACCATCTGCATAATATTCAATTGTCACTGCTGCCTTGACAATCTAACAGCCTTCTCTCTGCATGAACAGGATGTTCCACCAAGCTATTCAGCCTTTTATTTGGTAATCTCATGTTTTCTCCTTTCAAAATATAAAGTTGCTAACAGATAAGAGAAAATATTTTTGTGGAAGCAGTGGGCCAAGTTTCCAGCTACAGACAAGAAACCCTATGTGAAGAACACTTGGCAGTTACACAGTGATTACACCTGATAAATGTCAGAGCAGAGGAGACAGGAGGCTTGTCTTACTGCTGACAGGAGAGGAAAAAGGCAAAGGCAAAATGTTGCCTAAGTTGCAAAGTTGGTGAGATTGAAATTTCTGTACCAGCCACTGGACAAGGTTTGGTGAAATTAGGAAACTGGATTTTCTTAGATCAAAGCCACATCATTAAATCTAGGCTGTGAACTTGGAATAATACATGCCTTCCTGATCCCCATGGCTGAGTTTGCCCTTGGCAGACCAGGACAAAGGAATGCAGAGGTAAGAGCCAACCCTTAGGCTCAGACAGGTGTAAGGAAGGGCACTGTGCAAAGGATCAGCAGCATCCCTGCATCACATCTCTCCAGAAGAAGCCTTTGGGTTTTAGCACATTAAATTTAAAATACCAGAGGGAAAAGGCCTGTACCTTGGTCACCAGGTTGTTCTCTCCAGCAAGCACTTCCATTTCAAAATTCCTGTATGTGCTGTCAATAATACTGGTTTTATTCACTACACAGCTAATTCCTGGATTCTTGTCCATTATAACCTGGCCTGAAAGAGAGGGTGAGAGATAATTATGGTTAAGGGACCAGGACCTTTTAATGTTCTGCAACAGCTATAACAAACCTGCTGTTTACAGCTAAATTAACAAAAGTAAGTGTGTGTTGGAACAACCTCCCTCTAATGACTCAGGGCTGCAGCTGTGGCCTTTCCAGGGCACGCATTTCACCCTGGCCCAGGGCTCAGTGCAGTGGGAGCACCAAACTGTGAGAGAGCTGTATCCCTCAGTACAGTAACTTTTTAGCAATATACAAATGGCACAAATACCTTCCTGAGAGAAGCTGTTTCACCTACCAATCAAGTGTCTATAGGGCAGCTGGTGATCCCTGAGATTCAAATGAGCAATGTGGCCAACACGGCTGAATCCAGAGGTGACTTCTTGACCTTCGGGAAGGACGGCTCGCAGGATCTCCTCTGACTTGAAATTCTCATAGGTCAGCTCCAGGTGGTACTTGGTCACTTCAGGATGGACACTGAGCTGTTTCAAAACCTGCTGCTCTGACTCTCCTAATGAGAATTCCGGAACTTTGTGAGGATCCAGGATAACAAATCTACTGTCCTCATCCTCTGGATCCTCCACCACCCGTTTGAGGCCGGGACGTTGCAGTACTGATTGTTTTAGAGACTTCAGCACACTATGCACAATTTCTTTCTTGACTTTAAGAGCTGGAACAACCACTGTCCTTTTGAAAGCCTCTCTGTTGAGCAGTGTCATCCCACGCACTCCAGGATGTGGCAAATACAGTTCTGGATTAGTTTTATCCTCCGCAGTTTCAGGCATTGTGAAGAAAGTATTTTTTTTAACTACTACAAAGAGCCCAGGTATTCTGCCAGAATGTTGTGCCAATAACATCCAAACTGCTGGAAATGATGTATTTGATGCAGCTGTCCTAAAATGATTAGTTTTCAGTAGTCTGGCATAGTATCCCAATCTCCACAAAGTCCTAGAAGAGAAATTACTCATTTTATAGACATTATGTAATCATTCCATTTAAAAGGCTGCAAATCACATGGATTTGCTGTTCTCTTAAACCAGAATTTCCATCTGTACCAAACAATCCACAATCATTTAGTAAAGCTCTTTATTATGAAATATATGCTGCAAATTTCTGTTATTTTGCAAGTGTATCTTTAGACTCAAACATTAACTGACTTCAAGCAGCGATATAATCCCCTCCTGCCAAAAAACAATGACCTCTCTTTGTTCTAATAAATGTGATATTAATCTCAGAAAGCCAAATGGAAAGACTTCTACTGTCTTGATCCTACTCCTGTTGGATTCCTCCTGTGTCTGGTAAAATTCATAACCAAGCAGTGGTTGCTAGAAAACAGTTATTAGCAACAGTGGTCATGATCACTCTGGTGATTTCTGCCTCCCATGCCCCAGTGTAAGGGGTTCCATGCTCTGTACGATCTTTACTCCATAAGGTGCATGCCAGAAAGGTCATTAATTAAATGCAATGTTCAGCATAAGGTCCAGAGAAATATCAGTAATGTCTGTTCCTGCCACTTCGCCCTGGTTCATCCACGGGATGGTAACTTGAAAAGTGGCTTTATACTTCTCAAAATTGTTTCCTCCACTAGAGACGGACCAAAAGGACCCAATTTTCTGCCTTGGCAATGGCTGCTCCAAAGCAGGAACCAATGGATTAGATGGTGCTGGAGTCTGGCATTTCTCCTGACTTTTTTTAAATCTTGCTTTGAGAGAGAGGCTCTGCAAGGAAACTGGTTCTCTTGCCTGCCTCCCTCAGCCCTGCCTCTCTCCGGGGTAACAAGAAGCTGTGTGCTCTCTCTCCTTCACAAACCTGCTGTGCCCAAACCCTGCCAAAGCTGGTCCTGCTCCCATCCCCCGCCCCGCCCAAATCCCAGCTCCTCGCCGGGAGCTCCTTACATCTCCCAGGCACGCCACTTCCCTAAGCCAGGGTTTTGGCAGAGCACACCTTCTTCAGGACACACTGCATTCCTCACGTCTGCTGCACAGGAGAAATCCCCTCATCCAGAGGCCTGAGCACCCCCGTGCTTTTCCTGGGACATTTTCCTGGGGGTGGAAATGGGTGGCGTGGTTCTCAGAATGAGAGAATCGAATAGGCTGGAAAAGACTCCTGGAGTCATCGAGTCGACCTGTGACCGAACACCCACCACCATGGCACGGGGTGCCTCGCCCAGTCTTTCCTTAAACACCTCCAGGACAGCGATTCCACCACTTTGCTGGACATCGTTCCAATGTCTAATCACCCTTTCTATGAAGAAATGTTTTCTGATGTCCAAACTAAGCCTCCCGTGGCGCAACTTCGGGCCACGTCCTCTCATCCTGCCGCTTCTCGGTACCGGATTAAACACACAGGATAAAGCCGCCCGCAACGCTGGATCTGGCTGGAGGTCCCTGCCGCCACCTCCCCAATAGAGAGACGCCATCCCTTCCGTCACCACCACGATTCCCGTTTATCCCGTTCTCCCCTCAGGGAATTCTCTCTCCCCTGGCTCAGTTCCCCCCCCCCAACCCCCGCCCTCACCTCATGTCGGGCCCCGCGCGCCGCGCGCGCGCGTCATCGCCGCTGCGCCGTGGTGGGCGGAGCCACGGCGACGGTCACGCTCACAATGACCCGCCCCATGTCCCCTCAGCGGGGCGGGCACGGGGCGTGACGGCCCCGCCCCTCAGCGTTGACCACGCCCCCGATAGGACCCGCCCCCTTTGGCCCCGCGCCCGGCGCTCCCCTCGGTGGCGCTCGGCGGGCGCGGGGGGCGATGGCGGTGGCGCCGCCTTGGGGGTCCGGGCAGGTCCGGCCCCTGCCCTCCCGCGGCTGGTACCTCTCCGCCCGCGAGTGGCGGCAGGAGGACGAGGAGGAGGAGGAGGACGGGGAGACCGCCCCGCTGCTGCCGCCGCCGCCGGGCAGCGTGCGTGTGAGGGGCGGCGGGGAGGGAGCGCCCTGAGGGGGCTGCGCTGGGTGCTGAGGAGAAGCAGCTCGGGGAGCGCGGGTTCAAGGGACGGGGCTGTGCGGGGCGGCTCCGGGGTGGCAGCGCCTGGGAGGGGGATAATCACCTGGAGAGGGGGGATGAGCCTCTGGTCCCATCGGTGCTCCTGATCCCTTCGATTCCCTGCTTGCTGAGCGCTTGGAAGTGCTGCCATATGCCCTCGCCCCTGTTGCGAGCAGGCGGGGAGAGCCTGCTCCGAGCCGTAAATCTTGCTGTGCTCGTTTTGCGCTCGGCTCTCGCCGTGTTCAAAGGTTGTGGGGCTGCCGGGCGGCATCGCCTGTGCACATCGTGTGTGCGTCGTTGTAGAATGAGAAGTGAGATTTTGAAGAAGGAAAAGTTGACTTTTGCCCGCTCCCTTGAATTTCATTTTAGGAAAGATCAAAACACCTCTTCCACTAATTGTACTTTTTTTTTCCTGTCCTTTTCACAGGGTTCTTCAAGTCGTGGTTCTTCCTTTGCTTTCTCAGTGTTTAACTTAATGAATGCAATCATGGGCAGTGGGATACTTGGCTTATCCTATGCCATGGCCAACACAGGGATCATGGGGTTTAGGTAAGTTTTCAGTTTTTACATATATTCATTCTTAAACTCGTTTTGTAGGATTAAATTGAACAAAACTGGATTACTGAGACTCCTGTACAAATCTGAGGAAGAAATAAATAGCTTGTGCCTTTCAGAATTGTTGGTTAAGACCTTCCCATTTTTGATTTAGTTGTTCAGATATGGCCTAACATAAGTCCTACCAAGACATTGCATTAAATTGCCACAGGGTGGCAATTTCTTGGCCATTACTCCTGACAGATTTATATTTTCCTTCCAAAACTGTAATCTCCTTTACTTCCAGGAATGAGCCTTGTGGAATAGGATGGATATGTGGCTGAAAACTGTGAATCAGCTTGTGCTTTTTTTTGTACTTTTGCTTGTTGCAAATACTAACCTGTGGGTAATGGGGAAAAAGTCACTGGAATTGTCACTTTAACCATTTCCTAAGCATTGGTTTCACTTCAGTGGAGAATGTGTGTGCACATATACACAAACACACGAACTCCCATGGTTATGAATATCCTGTATTCCATACATCAGGGCAACTTGGCAAGTATTGGGAAGATCAGAGACCACGTGAACCATAGTCAGCAGATACAAGCCTTAAAATGAGGAAATCTTGTAGCTTAGTTCTTGCAAGTGTAGCATTTTGAAAGCACAGAAATGCATTGTAATGTAAAAGTGCTTAATTGTGAATATTTTGTGGTTTTTAGTATCTTGCTGCTGATTGTTGCCAGCCTTGCTTCTTACTCTGTGTTTCTTCTGCTCAGTATGTGCACTCAGACTGGTAAGTGAAAAGGATTTATCTAACAGTGAGCTCTGAAATATTTCTTCAGTTTTATCACAGAGACATCAGCCAGTATAAAGATTGCAGTTAACAGTGGTGTCTGACTGACTGACCTTGAAATATGTAATGTTTATAACAATTAAAATCTGCCATTTATGAAGGATTTTGAGTCTTTTTATACAAAGCCAATGCCAAACTGACTGGTTTCTAAATTTTTTATTTTATTTTTTTCCCAAGTGCCTCCCTTATCTTTCCAGAGAGATCCTGTATTTCTGCAGCAAAGTTATTTTGGTGCTGGCTGAACCTCACTACATCAGTGTGTGCTTTTGCTTTCAGTGAATGCTTAAGAGCAATAAAATAGCAGCCTTTCATTCTCCTAGGAGTAGTACATATATTTTTGTCCATGGTTTGAAATGGATACCTTTCAAGTTTTTCAATCATATTGGATTATCATTATTCTCATGCTGCTTTATAGATGCAGCTTATAAAGCATTTTTGATGCTGAATGAGAAGTCATGTTGCAGTCCTTGGAAACTGCAGTGCTTTGAGACAGTTCAAACAGTCCATTCTAATACCTGCAGGCAAACCTGCTCGTATTTTAATTCTTGCTTCTTTTAATTGCTGCTGAAACAACTGAGTCGTTCCTTGACTTCTCATACACAAAGATCATGTTACAGCAGGAAGTCTCCCTGCTTATTGTTTCCCTCTCATCTGTTTTCCTGTCTTTTCAAAGGTGGTGGGAGAAAGCCTCTGCTTCTTTCCTCCTTGGCTTTGTTTTCTTTAGCTGCCTTTGGTCTCTCAGATGATTGCTTCCTGATTCTTCTTAGATCTGCTGCTCCTGCCCCCACCTGTTGAGTGATCTTCATACATTCTTAAAAAACACCCCTCTGAGGTAGGGTTACTTTTATGGTTGGTATTGTTGGCTGCTTGATGATTTGGGATTAAGTCTTTGGTTATTTTTTTCTTCTTTTGGAATGCTGCTTATTAGAAAGGAATCAGAAACTCAAACACGTAGCTGGAGAGGTACATGAAAAAAGGGGAGACTTGGGGTAATTTTATTGGCCTTTTTAACCTCTTACTTCAGCCTGAAAAGTTCTGTATTTTATGGGCATTAAGTCATATTAAGCTGTTGTCTAGTAAAAAAATAATTGAAGAGATTCTTGCAAAAGAATTATGGTGGGGGGGAGAAATAAGGATTTAAGTCTATTGAAGTAAGAAGAATTTGGATGGTCTGAACTCAGAGGCCTGATATGCAAGAAGGGTTTAACTCCTCAGTTCTTGTCCAAAGGGAACAGTCCACCTCAGGAAAGCATTTTTGAAATGCATACAGCTGCAGTGTCAGGATGAAGAATTTCTCTTGTCTGAAACTAATAATTAGTTATCACCTAATGCTGACTTGCATCAGAACTATGTCTGGATAAGTTTGCTGGATTTATGACCTTTTGTGTTTTGATTTTTTTTAAATAAGAGTTGAGATTGTATTTCCTATAATTTCTGTCAGTTATTGAAGTAATTGATGTTAGATAGCATTAGTTTTTCCTGAAACACTGTGTTTAAAAAGTGGGAAATACAGCCTGTTGTACCTTGACAAAGTAAAATCTCTGTGCATGTTTGATTCCAAAGTAGGTCATTAAACATTTTCTTTAAAAAGTCTATATTAATTTGTAAACAGTGTTACAGTATTAAACTTAATCCAAAGGAAAAAAATTGGAGGGAAAATTTAGTATTTTTATATTAAAACAAGCTAGGAAAATTTAAAGGGTGATGAAGAGAAACTGCTGAAAGTTTTTGTAAACTACTATTTAGGAAAGAGATGACCTATAAAACACCTTCTGAAAAGAAAGCACTAATTCTAATTCCATTTTAGACAGAGGCCAGGATTTATTGAGCACAGGCATTTTGGTTGCAGTTGAAAAATAAAGAAATGTCTTCAGTTACTCAGTTACGTTGGTCTGGACTTTGACAAAATCAAGTGATTTGTGCAGACCAAAAGGCTTAGCAAAAAAAATATTCCCAAGTGTCAAGTGTTCAGCTGAGATTAGTTTAGTCAGTGTTTGTCCTAGTGTTAATTCAGTATGACCTGTGTTGTTTTGGGCTGATAAAGACTAAGCTTACTTTGTAAAGCAGAGGAATTGGGAATTTAAGTGGGATGCACTTTGAAGTTTTGTGGCTGTTTTTTTCTTTTCATTTTAGGAGTTAGTCACAAATATTGCTGGTACTATACTTGCCCCTTCACATGCGAAGGGATAATTTCCATAGAGTGTTAATAACGATAAAAATTAAGCTGATCAGGCAGAACTTGTTTATCTTTATATAAATTGCACTAAATAAATATTTTGTTCCATATATTCTTGAAAGTACAGAAGTAATGTGATCGAGTAATAGGGCTTCCCAATGTTCACAGGACTAAACTGATTATAGAAACAGTTACTACAAAAAATACTCTAAGGTTTCATATTGATCTTTTGGAATTGTGTGGAAAATTTTGTTCTCTTTGCTGATAACTCCTCATACATGTGTGCTGTATATTTATTACCACATGGTGAAAACAACTTGCTCTTAAATATGTTTACTATCTTACTGTTCTGTTTTTTTTTTAATGGCAGTGAAGATGGCTACTTAAAATGCTTTTTTTCCTCCCTTGTGATCAGCTACTTTATAAATGGAAATTAGGAAAAACACTAATTAGGATAAAATCTAGTAAGACATATTTTTAGTTTAATTATATCTGCTAGAGATAGTCCAGGTTTATGCCAAGTACTGACTCTGGCTCATTTAATTTTGTTATTTCATTTATATTGTCATAGTGTGCTGGTGACTGTAGTAGAGCAAAACGGGGAAACATTGCCCTTGAGAAAATCATATGAGGAAATTTATGAAATTTTGTTAGTTTTGGTTTTTGTTTTTGCTTTGTTCTTTCCCCCTCTGGAGCACTGATCTAATTGTGTGCAGAACTTCAGTGAAATAAAATCACTTAAGCTTGGGCAAGTCTTAGGCTCCAGTCCTGTCATCTGATCTCTGTGAGCTGCCTGTGTCTCCCATGTCCTGTGTCATTTACTTCAGGGAACAGGGCTTCACTCAGGTGTGAAAAGCTCAGCTTGCAAAGCTGCACCCTCAATTAAGATGTGACAGGAGCAGGAGCAGTATTGTACCAAACAGAACCAAGGAAGAGAAACCCAGTGTCCTGACAACAGAATTATGTGGATTTGAGATTAATTTTACCCTCTGAGGCATTCACAGCTGTTTTATTATATCCCAAGAAAGTGAGTGGTGTTT